GCACATGACCACACTGACTTCACACTGCACTCATGGACACATGACCTCAGTGACTTCACACTGCACTCATGTGCACATGAACTCACTGACTTCACACTGCACTCATGGACACATGACCTCACTGACTTGCACGTATCACTATTAAACAACAACCCTTCCTTTCTTATTCATCCTCAGGATCTCATATTAAAATCATAAATAATTTTAAAAGTCCCATAGTCTTTTTACATTCAAACACATTAAAATTTTCAGTCCCTTTGAAACATCCAGTCTCTTTTCAAAATTCAAGTTCTTTATCTGTAAACACCTTTAAAAATACTTTCTTACTTAAAGAGATAAAAAATCAGGGCATAGTCACAATCAAATCAAAGCAAAATTAAATTCCAGCTGTCAAGTGGCTGGGATCCACTCATGATCTTCTGGTCTCCTGCAAAGGGCTTGGGTCACTTCTCTGTCCTCTGCAGCACACACAGCCAGCTCCGCTGGCTCCACTCCACTGTTGCTGCTGTCCTTGGTAGTGATCATCCCCTGTTACTGGCATCTCCAAACACTGGGTCTTTTGCTGCAACTGGGCTCACTTTCACCAATAGCCTCTCATAGTCTCTCTTCATGGTGCCAAGCCTCAACTTCTCTGCATGACCCCTTCAGTCATGAGACTTCACCTGCCACTGAGGCTGCACCTTCATCTGGTGGCCTCCCCTGGTCTCCCACAGGGATAAGCCTCAGCTGCTCTCCATGCCCCCTTCATGCCTTCAAAACCAGTCCCACCTGAGTGACTCTTATACATTATCAAGTCCTCCTGACAGCAGGGAGTACAACCCTGACCACCTAGGGAATATAACTTCTCTGTGCTCTCAGGAAACACTTCCCAGAAGATTTCACCAGTGATGCTCGTCTCTTCTTAATCACCACTAATTTCTTAGCAAAACAGTTTCACTTTGGTTGTTCTGGTATCTTGCTAATCTCAGCTGATTCTTCAGCCCCAGCTAACCAGAACCACAAATTTAATTTGAAATAACAAAATCGCCATGGTAGAGTTTTTAAACTTCCCTGTGAAACTTCACAAGTCAGGCCTCCATCTTCTGCACTGCTCTCAACATTCTTTTTTTTTTTTTTTTTTTTTCATTTAAATTAGAAACAAGCTTGTTTTACATGTCAATCCCAGGTCCCTCTCCCTCCCTTCCTCCGCTGTATCCCACCAACTGTCTATCCTATTCCCTTTTTGCTCCCCAGGGAGGGTGAGACCTTCCATGGGGGATATTCAAAGTCTGTCATATCATTTGGGTCAGGGCCTAGGCCCTCCCCCATGTGTCTAGGCTGAGAGAGTATCCTTCTATGTGGAATGGGCTCCCAAAGCCCATTCATATACTAGGGATAAATACTGATCCACTACCAGAGGCCCCATAAATTGTCCAGAACTCCAAACTGACATCCACATTCAGGGGGTCTGAATCAGTCCTATGCTAGTTTCTCAGCTATCAGTCTGCAGCCTACCTTCATATAGAACCCAGGACCAGCAGCACAGGGATGGCACCACCCATCATGGTCTGGGCCCACCCCCATTGATCACTAATTGAGAAAATGCCTTATAGCTTAATCTCATGGAGGCATTTCCTCAGTTGAGGCTCCTTCCTCTCTGATGACTCTAGCTTATGTCAAGTTCACACACAAGATCAGCCAGTACAAAAGGCAACACACTTGGCTAAAGAGTGAGTGAAAACACACCCCAAGGGAAAGGAACACAGATCATAGTTCTAAGTGAATGGGGGGATGGCTCCTGATATGTTTCTACACTGCTCTTAAAAGTTAATCATATTTGATGTATTTGCTAGATTATTCATTTATTTTTGAAAGGCATCTCATTATGTAACCCGATGACAAACTTTTTCATTGCTGTTTCCAAGAGGACAACTCAATGAATCAAGACAGGGTTCATCAGAAATGACAAGTACAAGGAGCTTTGTCAGGCCCTTCCGCTTAATAGCTCCGTGTCAGCCCCTGCTTCCTACAGGACCAGCCTTCTCATCTGTCCCAGGAAGGAAGGAAGAAAAGATTGCTGCCTCCAGAAACATTTTAATTTGTCTAGCTACAATAATTAGATCTTTATTCATGGGCGTATGTAGCTAATCACAATGGCATGCACTTGAATTGGGTTAAGGAGGTATCTTTGAAATGTCATTTGTGAAGTTCATTTGTAATTTGTAATATTCCCCTGGTCTGACAGTAATGAGGTTTGGGGTCATCCAGTTATTAACTCTTCTCCTCCTCTTCAATGTTCATTTGGAGCTGTGGTCCATGACACGTGGCTCTCCACCTTGGCTTCATGTGAAGTCTCCAGGGAGGCTTGAAACTCAAACAATGACAGCACGTATGATGCCTGGCCTGTCTGCACGAGGTGAGGCCCCTAAGCAAGGGCACGCCACTTGCTTTTGTTCTTAGCATTTGTCTTCTTATGTTGTGGTGCGAAGTATGGCTAAGGAAATACTGTGCATTGTTGAAGATGGAGCAGGTGTGTGCATTTTAAGATTGAAAATGGGGGAGCAATAAATGCAATTATTGAATTTACATTGCAGGCTGGTGGTGGAGCTCAGAGGTAGAGCACCTTTAGGTGTTGCCAGTGGGAGGATGTCCTAGGGCTCAGATTCTGACAGTGTGGGTCACAAGCCCACAGGGAGTCCTAACTGAAGGCAGGAAGGGGGTCAAGAAAAATAGGGTAGTAGTAAAAGGTTTCTGTTTGCACAATAACCAAAGCTAATTAAAACTCAGAGTCCACAGTGTTCCCATGGGGGCTCATGCATGTGTTGTCCTGTGACTATACTGTGCCCTCTGAACATGCAGCATGAGTCCTTTGCACGATGCACGTTCTTACAACAAGCAAGAACCCTATCTGGAATCCTTCCCCTCAGATTAGAGACTATTGTTTATTTTGAATCACAATGGTTCTTAGCATCACATAGAGCTTCTACTCTTATAAAAAACATAGTGTTTTAAATACAGAGAAAGACGCTTAATACTTTCCTACCTTCCCATCTCCACACACATCAAATCAGTATTTGTGAATTGTATTGGTTGGAATGTTTGGTTTTTAAAACTGCTATTTGAAGGCTCAAGAGATAGCTCAATTGGAAAAACTGGCATGGGGACCTGGGTTCAACTCCCAGAATACATATAAAAAGCCAGTCATGATGGTATGTGTTATAATCCAGTGCCAGGGAAGCAGAGGCAGGCAGATCCCTGTGGTTCTCTGTCGAGCAAGCCTAATCTACTTGGTAACTTTCCAGCAAGTGAGAGACCCTGTCCCCAAACAATTGAGCAAACAAGAAGCAGGCCAAAGCTGAGAATGACAGAAACAACTGGCTGTGACTGCTGGGTGATACAAGCTGAGGCACACAGTCTTATGGTTTCTTTCATAATCCATAGCATGTAAAGACTTTTAAAAATTATAACACTTCAGTTAAAATGAATAGGCTAATAAATGGCAGGCTCCATAGAGTTAGTATCAATTTTGTCACCAATCTATGCTGTAAACAAGAGCTGTAGAGACTGCAGTGAGAGGAAACACTTCAGCAATCAAGAGCATAAGCACTTGGCTGTGGCCTTGTAAAAAGTACCACCACCCAAGCTGTTGTCATGGTTTCACAGATAACAATGGTCAGGAGAAGAGATGAAGAGTTGGTGTTCAAGATCCAATTATGGCACCCAGAAACAATGAGCTTCACAGGTAGCTTAAATGGAAGGTGATGAGAAAATGTCATCTAAATCTTCAGGCTTCTTAGAGTGGGCTTACAGGGAGTGTCCACGGCTGAGCGGGCATGTTCCAGAAAGAATGGGTCTCTGCAGTTCTCATTAGAAACATGGACAAGCTGTGGGGAGCATTCTGGTAGCCTGCTTTTCTGTGTAGGCAGAACATGGGCATTAGTACATGTATCTCTCACCAAACCACAGCCATCCACAAGTCCCACACTCCCAAATGTCCAGAACCATCCGTCTCTTCCATCATAGCCCTCACACCCTTATGCCTTCATGTATGTACGTATGTATGTATGTATATCATGAACAGAGACACATGCACACTGAAACATACAAGCACACATGCACTTGTGCACACTGTTCAGCCATCTCTGATGCAGGCAATGGCAAACTGACCCATGGGCTACAGCCCACCACCTCATTTCATCTTACATAGCTGGGGAAAGGCAGAAAGGGGGCATGTTGTTGCTGAGTAGGGCCAACTCTCAGACCGCCAGGGTGTTGCTGCTTGGTCCATAAGACTGATCAGTGGCATGGGGCCACTGCTGCTGCTGCTCATGCTGCTTGTCGTACTGGGAGGAGGAGAGCTTGGAACCTGGGGACTGCCCACTGGCTGCAAACATGATGGCTGTGCCCAGGGTACCAGCAGGGCTGCTGGAGCCCAGAACTGGGTGGTGTACAAAAGCCTGGAGCTTTCACAGGTCCTGCCCCCAGACTCTGAACAACAACAAGATATCTAAGATGGAGAATGGTTCGTTTTTTGGCTTAAGTGTCCTCGAAAGACTTTTTCGGTCCTTGCTGCCACTGGGGGCAGAGTTAGTGGCCATGGTTCTTGTTGATGCTGGAAACCAGGTTGATGTCCATGGTCCATGCTGCCAACAGAGACCGTGTTAATATCCATGGTCCATGCTACAACTGGAAATCTTGTGGAAGTGTACGATCCATGCTCCATGCTGCTGCCGGCTGCTACGGGCAAGGAAGCTTCTTTTGCAGTGGCATTGATGACTGCAGAGTCAGAACTGAGAATGAGAGACATTGAAGATTCTATGACAACTGCCCCCAGCAAAAAAGAGAGAGAGAGAGAGAGAGAGAGAGAGAGAGAGAGAGAGAGGGAAAGAAAGGGAAAGGAAAAAAAGAAAAGAAAAGAAAAAGAAACAGTCCAGGCAGGAATCTATTAAAGAGAGTCTTTAAAATTGTGATAACAATGCAAAGTGTAGCTCTTTACACTTGATGGCTTCTGGTGGGAGGTAGGGAAGGACTCAGTTTTCTTTAAGAGCTGGCAACTGGGAGTTTGACCATGCTCCAATGAGTATATGGCCAACACAAATTGGATTTGTTGGGAAGGTTTTTAGAGGGGACAAAGGTGGGAGGGTAGACCTGGGAGAAATAGGAAGTAAGTGTGATCTAGGTGTATTGTATGAAATTCCCAAATAATTAATAAACATATTATATTGGGGAAAAATTAAAAGCTGAATGACATTTTAAGGCACATAACATTTTGGTTTCCATAGCTGAACACAGAGTTGTAGTGCCACAGTCACACCTATTTGGTGGCATACTCTCTCTCTAGCCTTCATATCACAGTGGCTGGCGTGTCCCAGCACCACCCCTCCAGGAGACAGAGGATTGGAGCAATCATACCATTCCTGCAGGAGCTATGCTACACCTCTGGGGTTCCAGAGCAGACGGGATTCCATTATTCGCTCAGTTCTGAAGCACTTTGCAAACCCATTGAAGATCTGGTATTTTATGATGATAGACACAGGTCCAGAACTCAGGGGAGATTTAAAGGGAATATAACTTTTGGGTTGTGCTCCAGAGGGGCCTCTGGGAAAGGAAAGCCATGGTGCAGAATATCACAAAGAGCTATAGGGAGAAGAGTTGCAACAGGGGCTGTGGTGACTGGCATTACTCAGGCTGCACTTGTCCTATGATACAGGGTGTTTTCCCCACCTACCTCAAAGGTACAGAAGAGCTTCCAACGTCTGTGATCATCCCTGGGCAACAAGTCTGTGGGACCAAAAGAGTTCCATTCTTTGCAAGTACCTCCAGCTCCCATGAAGGGATGTTGGCCTCATTTGCTCATATGTTCAGGATGCTGCTGAAGGGGGAGCAGTAGCTTAAATTTAAAAGACATTTGCCAGGCGTTAGTGGTGCACACCTTTAATCCCAACACTCGGGAGACAGAAGCAGGCCAATCTTTGTGAGTTCGAGGCCAGCCTGGTCTCCAGAGCGAGTGCCAGGATAGGCTCCAAAGCTACACAGAGAAACCCTGTCTCAAAAAAAATTAAAAGACATTTGAGTTCAGACTGTAACTATTCAGATGGACTCGATCATAACAGTTGGCTCTCTGAACTTGGACTTTCCCATAGTAAGCAAACACCATTGCATGCCTGTCTAATTACAGAGAGATATCATTGCTGTCACTGCTGTTATTAATATGGTCATTATTTCCATTGATTATACTCATTTCCCACTGTAGATATGATTTATTATCACAGTACAGTTAAAACACACTAAGAACCTAATATTTTCATTGTCTCATTAAATCACCACAAAACCCTATCATCTGAACACTTTTGTTAAGTTAAAGTATGTTATGTGGGTCTCTTCTTTTCATGTGTATGTGTATTTTGCCTACATGTATGTCTGCACACCATGTGAGGGCAATGCCCACAAAGGGTCTCTTCTTTTCATGTGTATGTGTATTTTGCCTACATGTATGTCTGCACACCATGTGAGGGCAATGCCCACAAAGACCAAAAGAGGGTGTTAGACTCCCTAGGACTGAAGCTCCAGATGTATCACCCTGAGGATGCTGGGAACCAAACCTGTGTCCTCTGGAAGAGCAACCAGTGTTCTTAACCACTGAGCCACCTTTCCAAGTGGGCCTATTTTTAGTTTAATTGGAATAAATATGTCATTGGGTTGGAATACGTTGATTTCCAAGACAGGCATGTGCGGATAGAGTCCCTATGTATGTAGCCGCTGCTCACTTTGGCTCTGGTTAAACATTCTATGTGCAAGTGGAATCACTATGGCAACGACCAGTATCACCCTTGGAGAACCAGCCTGGGAGACTTCCCATACTAACACTGCAGATGAGACCTTTGCGCCCAGAAGTCCTGGGGCCTGGTACTGCTCAGTGAAGTGGTTAATTGACTTGCTGGATCACAGACCATTTCCTGCTGAACTGTCACTCTCCTCCAGGACCTGGTCATCCCCTTGTCACAGTACATAACCCCTTCAGAACTTTACAGTTGAGAACCAAGCCTGGGGCTCTGCAGGGAGTGACAATGCAGCCATAACATATCCAAGAGTGACTTCACCTGGGGCATCAGCATCTCCTGAGGGAAGCGGTGTAAAGTCAGCAGGCCCATGGCTTCTGGAACTCATAGATGAGGCACTGACATCTTATAGATGTGGACCAAGATGCTGCCACTGTCCTACATTATCTAGGATAACCGCCTCCGCAGAGGGAAATCCAGGAGGCCTGCCTTCAAGAGCCCGTCCCTGAAGCACCATTTAAGCCAGTGTTTCTCAACCTCTGGGTCTTGACCCCTTTGGAGATCAAATGGCCCTTTCACAGGGATTGCCTAAGACCATTGGAAAACACAGACATTTACATTATGAATTATAACAGCAGAAAAATTACATTTATGAAGTAGCAACGAAAATAATTTTATTGGGGGGGGTCATCACCACACCATGAGGAACTGTAGTAAAGGCTCGCAGCACTAGGAAGGTTGAGAACCGCTCATCTAAGACATCCACTCACTGACTTCTGAGGGGAGGGGCTTTCAGAACATACCCTGAAGAGTTTGGAACCCCGTATCCTGTTAGTCTGTAGTAATGTACCCCATAGCACAATTCCTTTTACAGCAGAGATATTTGATCATTATATGGATGAAACAGGGGAGTATCATATTAAGTAAATCAAGCCATGACCAGAAAGGCAATATCACATTTTCTCTCATATATGAATTCTATATTATATATATGACATACATTTTACATAGTCATATATGAAATCATATATATTATATATATATATGACATATATTTTTATATATATGACATACATTTTACATAGTCATATATGAAATCATATATATGACATATATTTATAAGTAATCATAGCCATATAACATGAAAGTGGAAATGAAGACTACCTAGGAAAAGGAAGGGGACAAATGGAGACAGAGGAGGACATGAGGCTGAATACTGTCAAAGGATTTAATGCAAATGAATGCAATGTCATAATGAAATGGTGACTACATAACAATAAAAAGAGGCAAGAATACAGTAGATCCCAGGTGATTGCCCAAGTGATGTTTCCAAGCACATATTCATACAGTTAACAACATTGTAAGGTCTTTATCCAATGGTAAAGTGACATGTCCATGACAGGGACAAAATCTGAAGTAATGCTAAAATAAAACTGCCAATACTTCTACCCCCAAAGCAGGAGCTTGAACTAGCAACACAATTTTTTTAATTAAAAACAACCAAAACAGCTGAGGTCATTTGAATGCAAACAGCCCCCATAAGCTCTTGGGGAATTGCATTATTTGGAAGGATTATGACGTGTGGCCTTGTTGTCACCAGGGATGGGCTTTGTGGTTCCAAAATCTCAAGTCAGACCCAGTGGCTCACTCTCTCTGCCTGATGCTGCCAATCCAGGTGTAGAATTCTCAGCTACCTCTCCAGCTCCATGTCTGCCTAAGTGTTGCTATGCTTCCTACCATGATGAATATGGACTAAGCCTCTGAATTGAAAGCCAGCTTTCAATAAGAGTTGTTGTGGTCATGGTGCCTCTTCACAGCAATAGAAACCCTAAGACGGCAACCTAGAGAGTTATCTGTCATTGACACACTGAGAGTTAAATAACATCAAGGACCTCACTGGCCAAGTGTAAGATGGGCACAGCAGCCCTTAAGACAGCATGTACTGGTATCCCTGGCCATGCTGTATCTTGAGAGTTATCTTTCTCATGAATCACTCACACTGCTCAGTTCCTCTTATGGCCCCTAGAAGGTGCTAAGAACTGAGAACAAACATTTGAAATAGTCCCTGCCCCGGGGTAGGAATGAGAAGTATAAAACACCAGTATCTTTTCAAGTAGACAAGAAACATATGGGTAAAGGAAAAGCTGTGCAGTCCCAGCCCTGAGCAAGGAGGCCTGACTTCATTATTTTTCCATTGGGCGGGGGATGGCAAAGCATGTGTCAACTGAAACCAGGAAGAAGACAGTAGCATCACTGGTGAGAAGCACTCAGGGTAGAGGTCTGTTTGAGTGTTCAGTCATCACAGGCTTAGCTAACCATGGTACAGGGCCCAGGGGAGTCACGGGGGACTCCTCCCAAGGCATGTGAAGCTGGGAGGGCAAGGGGTGGAGAGTAGGGCCTGCGATCCAGATGTAGAAACACCTCCCACTTCTGTGTCCTTGCAGTGAGAGGGGACCAGGGCACTATCCTGCTTGACTCTCCCGACAACTAAGTGCTCAGTTTGAGATGACTGGGCTACACAGGACTCCCTTCTGGGTCCTTCCTTAACACTGGAGAGAACAATGATACCTGGCAGGTTCAGACTGCTGCCATCTGCTGGCCACTTGAATTTGCACTTCCTCTGATGAGCTCCCATGTACGCCAGGCCGGCCGTTCTCCCATCAGAACTAAATGAGCCCCTGACCACCTGGGAAAGATGCAGGATTCCACAGTAGTTGTTATTAATACCTTGCAAGCAGGAAAAGTCTACCAGATTTATCATTTTCAAGATCACAGGCATGTTGACAAGAGAAGCAGCAATCGGAAGACAGGACATGTCCGGGAGTTTTCAACTTGTTGACTCAGAAACCAGGTGGCTCTGAAGCCACAACTGGTTTTGTCTACAGCTCCCGTCAGTTTCTCTGACCTATGTGCTTCCCTACAGAACTGGTTGTTCAGAGGAAGAAGGACCACATGTGCATGTCACCAAGCTCACTGGCTGGCACCTGAAGACCCTCACAAAGACTAGCTATGCCTGAGGCTGTCTCACTATCTTGGCCATAGTTATTGTGACTAAGGAATAAAGGTATTGCAAAGCCTGGGGCTTCCTCACCTGTAAAAGAGAAACAAACTTCCTAGTAGATGAAGCTAACAATGGCAAGTTCTGCTGTGATGTCACCAGGGATCCTGTCAAGGAGATTGCTCATGAAGTCTGATACTAAGTCAAAGACTTTGAGAGTCCTGTTCTGATCCTGTGCGTCACCTTTGCCAAGGAATCTCTTTTTGAAGCAGTTCTTCTAGGCTTGGAGAACCTGGCATGGTTCCTAGGAAGATCAGGACTTTATCCTTCAGCTTCTACAGGAACTATTCCTTTAACACAAACAAATGTTTCTTATAACTACCAATGGAGATTTCTAAGAAGGGCTCTGGCTGCTGAGCCTGGTTCCCACATACCTTGAAATACACACTGGAGTCAGAGATGGCACCCCAGGGTTGAGGCAGCAGAACCCCACACTGTCAGCTCAGTCCCAAGCAGCCCGAGGCACAAGCATGCATAACCAGAAAGGCTAAACCCAGGGAAACAAGGGACTACATGGGAGAAAGTTGAGTTCTCTGAGGGATAGTGGGAGGGACTGAGAGAAAGCTCACACCACTTTCACTCGCGAGGCACCCAGCTCCCTGTGTTCAGTTTAATCAAAAGGTGTCTACAGCTGTGGAATATTGCTAAATCTGTCCCTGAGAATAATGAACATCTGGGCAGAGACCCCTCTGTCAACCCTTTCTTCCAGGACACTCAGAAGTCCCTGGACAGATAAAGTAATTCAGTTTTGAGCATTTAAGCGGAAGAAACTGTCTATTTCTTCATGTTGTGTGTGTATGTGCTGTAAGCAAGGACACAGTAAAGAGTGTGGCTGAAATGGCCACTCTGTGGGTGGGGAGAAGGTTTTTGTTATAGGTAAGAGAGGCGTCTTGGGGTGTCTCAGCCAGAGGCATCTGGGAGAGCCAGACAAGAGCAGGAAAGCAGCAGACTGGCCATGGCCATGGCTACAGAAGTGGGGTGTGGAAGAATCATGAGGGCTTTAAGGAGGAAGAGTGGGGGGAGGGAGGCCTGTGAACTAGACCCACCTGGGAGTTTAGGGTAGAAGAGGAGGTGAGAAGCGCCAGGATGCTACATGGACTTTGAAATGCAAACAGTACATGTGAATAGAGGCCAGGGAGTCTGGAAAACTATAGTATGCAACCCAGGTCTAGCCAAGGGGACTGGCCCATGGGCAGGCAAGATGTCCTTTCACAGATCCCCAAAGAGTGCTGCTCCTGTGGACCAGCTTGGACTGAGCAAAGACTGGCATCCTAGGATTATCCACTGCCTTCGGGCAAGCTGGGGTTCCCTTTGGACCTGACATGTGTACGTCACACATTTGCGTTTGTACAATGGCCATGTATGTGCAAGCACATATATGCATGTGACCATGGGTGTGTATGGACACCAGAGGACAACCTTGGGTGTCTTTCCTTGGATGTTACCCATCTATTATTTTTTTGTTGGCACAAGGCTTCTCAGTAACCTGGGACTCACCAAGTAAGCTAGTAGCTGGCCCACCTGACTATTTCCTCACCCTTGGGCTTACAAGCAGGCAAAACCATCTCTGGCATTTTCTACATTGGTTCTGGGGCTGGAATTCAGGGTCATGCTTGTACTGCAGGCACTCCACCAATTAGTTAGCTCCCTGGCCCTATTTCTGTAGAATGTCTCCTCACCACATGAGAAAACAAGGATACACATAATTTTTAATGTCATTGTGCTTGGCTACAACTAAGCAAAACATTGGCTTGGAATATCTGTGTGGTGATATCTTGCTTGTACAAATAAAGTCTGTCTGAAGTTCAGAGAACAGAGCTTGCCACTAGCTAACCATAGAGGTCTGGAGGTCTGTACAAACAGACAGGAAGTATACTTTAATCAAATGAAGTACTCATTTGATTAAAATATTGCTTGATTCAGGAGGGAAGGGATATTATGTGTGGAGGAGAAGCCATAGTCAGCCCTCATACACAAACACCCCTCGGTGTCTTCCTGTTCACCGTGGGATGGAGGGGAAACTTCAGGAAAGCAATTATGTCGCACAACCTGAAAGCATTTTCTACTAAACACTTACAGGGGCAACCTATATTTTATCTAGGAAAAAAATGTAGAACAGCTCCAGTCATTAGATACAGAAAAATGAAGCTCCGTGTGTGAAAATTTCACTTCACCCTTTGTTGTTGTTTGAGTGTGAAGTGTTCCCTCTGGGATCCTGTATTTGAATACTTGACTCCCAGGTGTGGTGTGCTTTGATACATTTTGGAACCTTTGGGGAGGGCTTGGCTGGCAGGTGTGGGGCCAGTGGGTGAGATGCCAGCTCTGCTCCCAGCCTGAGTTCTCTCTGCTTTCTGATCTCTCTACATGCGAGGGTGCAGCCTCAAGCTTCCCTCTGCCACCACAGACCCTCTAATCCAAAGTCTTCCCTTTGGGGAAGCAAAGAGCACAGCCCAGACCATCAATAAGAAGCTCTAGGGGACTGGATTGATGGCTCAGAGGTTAAGAGCACTGACTGCTTTTCCTGAGGTCCTGAGTTCAATTCCCAGCAACCACATGGTGGCTCACAACTATCTATAATGGGATCCAGTGCCCTCTTCTGCCGTGCAGGCATACATGCAGGCAGAACACAGTATATTAAATAAATAAAATCAAAAAAAAGGAGAAGAAGAAGAAGCTTTGTAGCTAATTTGGCAACACCATCCATAGCGCAAATGTGCTCACATGGGGCCCTTCCTAGTTACAACCTGTAACTATTCTAACCCAGTGGTCGTGAATCATGGGAGTGGGCACAGGTAAGCAAAGAGGAGAACACAGCAAGATCAACTGGAACACTTCGTTCGCAGTTGCACAAGGCACCCATCCATCCACAGAGGTTGTGTGGTGGTCAGAACAGAAGCCCCGGGAACACAGCATTGAGCACTGGCTTGGTTCCAAACAGAGCTCTCCACAGGCTGACCTGTACCCAGGGATGAAAGTCATACTAACCAAACATAACCCCCAAACACGGGTCAGAGTGTGCTCACCTTCCTGGGTAAGGAAATGTGGAACCCAGAGCGCAGGCCCCTCCTGCTGTTCATTCCGCTGCTGAGGACCTTGGCAGCCCCTAGATGGCGATTGTGAGCAGGCAAAGGAAAGCTGGGTGGGTGGATGAGCACTTATCCAAGCCCTGAGAGCTGGAGCCTGCTGCTCCAGGCTTTAAATGGCTCTGTTTTAGGTCTCTGAGCTTTAACCACCTGAGTCCTAGGTACACAGACTGGCATGACCACTCTAAGGTGTGTGTGTGGTGTCGGGGGTGGGGGGGCTGTTATATTGTAATATGAGAGGAAGTACAGCCAGAGGCATCTGAAAGAGTCCAGAGCAGAGATAGAAAGTAGTACACTGAGCATGGCCAGTAGACTGCTCTTGGCCACGAGAAGAAGCTGGGAGCAAGAGAGGAAGACAAAGGAGATCGATCGATCGGTAGAGAAGGGACCAGGAGAGCACATAGTCAAGATAGCAGGGTTATAGGGGAATGAGAATTCAGGGGAGGGAAGCCAATGAGCTGGAGAAGTTTAGGGTCGTGGGGAAAAAGCCAGGATGCGGGCATGGACTCTGTAACAGCTGCTTGTGACAGGAGAGAGCCTGGAGTCCAGCATAAACTCTGGTCTGCTAATAGACACCACAGATAGCCATTTGTCAGAAGTTTCTTTTGGATATAACATTAGTCCTGTAGCAGCTATAGTAATCCTGGTCTCTCAGCATTAGTGCAGTGAACAGTAGTGAGCAGCACTGTGTAGTACTGAGCTGCAGTGAGCAGTAGTGAGCAGCAGTGTGTAGCACTGAGCTGCAGTGGGCAGCAGTGGGCAGCAGTGAGCAGCACTGAGCTGCAGTGAGCAGCAGTGGGCAGTAGTGAGCAGCACTGTGTTGTACTGAGCTGCAGTGAACAGCAGTGGGCAGCAGTGAGCAGCAGTGTGCTGCACTGAGCTGCAGTGAGCAGCAGTGGGCAGCAGTGAGCAGCAGTGAGCTCCCCAGAGCTGCAGTGAGCAGCAGTGAGCAGCAGTGAGCAGCAGTGTGTTGCACTGAGCTGCAGTGGGCAGCAGTGTGTTGCACTGAGCTGCAGTGAGCAGCAGTGGGCAGCAGTGGGCAGCAGTGAGCATCACTGTGTTGCACTGAGCTGCAGTGAGCAGCAGTGGGCAGCAGTGAGCATCACTGTGTTGCACTGAGCTGCAGTGAGCAGCAGTGGGCAGCAGTGGGCAGCAGTGAGCTCTGCAGACAGCACTGCCTAGACTAACTTACACAAGCACCCAAAGTGCCAGCCTGGCGCATGGCCTGTAGCTTCTGTACTAAGGGAGGTCTCAAGTCACATGATCTCAGCCCTTAAAACAGACTGTTTCATATGCACATAGATACACCGGTAGATAACTACACAGTTGCCTGTTTGGGGGTACTTTAGAGATGTATTTGTTTTGGTGTACTCTAGAGATAGAGAAGTGCCTGTTGTGGGGTACTCTAGAGATAGAGAAGTGCCTGTTTTGGGGTACTCTAGAGATAGAGAACTGATGGACTGGATATGGACTACAAAAGGGGGTTAATGAACCATTCCACCTTCTTAAACTCTTTCTATCCATGACCCCTTTTCTCCTGAGAAATTTTGGCACAATCCCAGATTTATAAGCAAATAAAACAGATATACTTTCCAAGCATCAATTTATAAGAAATTATAAAGTGACTCATATAGCAGGCAGAGAAAAGACTTGTTTTCAACAAAATATCAGTCACTCAATTTTACCAATAAAGACTCGGGAGCCAGATGCTGGGGTGGAAACCTGCTAGCTCAGAGAAGCAGAAAAAGCAACTGGCTGACCTTCCTCTTCTGTTGATGTCCCAGAAAGAGAGCTTGCTCTTACACCATCTCAATCAAAACTCTTCAAACTCAATGTTCCTCCCTTCTACCTCTGGGTATCTCTCTATCTGTCCACCTGACTTCCTCTTACTCTGTATGTTTTTTTTTTTCTGTCACCTGGTTGTTTGCTCCATCTCTTAACCTATGGTTGATTTTATTTAATCCTGTTTACAATATCCAAACAGAAAGCTCTTGGATTAAAGGTGTGTGCTAGGGCTGAGCCACACCACAATTGGAAACAGGTTCTTCCAGTAAATAATATAATCTCAGGGTCACAACAACAGAAAACCTTTTAAATGTTTTCCTTCCTTGTCTATCAGGCTTCTTAGAGCCATGGCCCCTGCAACTCCAGACATAGTCCATGATTCACAGGGTCTCCTGTCCTGGGCCCACCGCGTTCTCATACAT